TTTAGCCGGGATGAGGCTTGGTGGGAGAAAATACTGCCGCACACCCGCGCACCTCTTGCAACGCAAAGTTGTTTGTTTTTGCCAGGTGTGCTGGCTATGCTTGGCGTGCAAAGGGCTGCAGAACCCGGAGTCGCCGCTGATATTTCTGAACGCAAACCCAAATGCTGAGTTTTGGAACACTGTTGGGGTCCTTGACCCGTGGGAGCACCCTCCTCCTTACACGGAGCTTGCAGGCTGGATGGGGCCAAGCCAAATACATCCAGACCTACTACACGTGTTTCACCTAGGGGTAGGTCGAGATGTGATTGGGAGTGTTCTCAAGATACTCTTGGCCAGGGCTAGGCCCCAATTTTTTGAAGGGAACAACATCCGTGACCGCTTGAAGGTAGCAACTTCCAGGCTGAAGGATTTTTGTGGGGCAAACAAGTTGCCGCTCCGGTTGGCAAAGCTAACCAAAACAAAGCTCAACCTTGCCACTGACAAATACCCAGAGTTGCGGTCTTCGGGGTATGACACGTTTGTTTGCATCAAGTGGCTTTGCTTTGAACTGGGCAAATCTCCAAAGTTCCCTGAGTTAGCAAGTTTGGTATGGTCGATTGACCATGTTTTGGGAACAATGGCTGCTGGCTCTAGATGGCTGAGCCATTTAGAACAAGAAAACAAGGCCATTGTTGGAAACATATTTTTAACGCTGTATCTCAAGCTTGCCCATGCTTCTGTGCAAAGGCGTGAGCGCTTGTGGCGCCTTCGCCCGAAATTTCACTTGCTTCAACACGTTCTGTTGAGTAGGCCTCAAAGTGGCCTAAATGTCCATCACTACAGCACCTGGATGGATGAGGACGCCCTCAAGAAACAAATGAAGATTTTGAAGCTTTCTGACAAGCGCACAGTGCAGAAACGTGCCCTGCAGCGCTGGTTGCTTTCTCTACCTCAGAAGTTTGACCGCTGTTTGAAAAGAAAGTCCGCTCTGTGAATGGCGTGTTTCTTCAACGAGGTGCTTTTTTGCCAAACGTATTCGGAAATATATATATATACACATAAGATACACATATACATACATATAAAATATATGATACATATATATATATATACAAATACATATATATATATATATATATACAAAAAGGGGTTCTTCCGGCACCAGCGAACTCCTACAAGCATACGTGCACCAGCAAACTTGCACAGGCACACTTGCGTGAGCAAACTCGCTGGAGCACTCTTGCGCGATTAGATTGAAGCTGGTCAGCAACGTATGGCCGTGAAAAAGGGCTATGGCCGTGAAAACTTGTTTTCATGTACCTGAGAACCATGGCCACGAGAAATGTGGTCAAACGGCCACCCAGGAATGCAGTTCACACTCCCCGAATGATCCGAAAAGGTGTTTTCGACGCTCTAAATTACTTTTGGGTATGGTTTGGCATGCCGACCGTGGCGCCCGCGGGCGCAAGCAAGAAGCGTGAGCAGTAGGAAGGAGAGCAAGCAGTAATTCGGTGGCCCAGAATGCAGTTCACACTCCGCGAATGATCGGAAAAGGTGTCTTCGACGCTCCAAAATTACTCTTGGGTATGGTTTGGCGCGCCGACTGTGGCGCCTGCGGGTGCAAGCAAGAAGCATGAGCAGTAGGAAGGAGAGCAATCGGTGGCCCAGAATGCAGTTCACACTCCCCGAGTGATCCGAAAAGGTGTTTTCGACGCTCCAAAATTACTTTTGGGTATGGTTTGGCACGCCGGCTGTGGCGCCTGCGGGTGCAAGCAAGAAGCATGAGCAGTAGGAAGGATTGGGTATGGTTTGGCCCTTCCAGCAACCTCCATATAGCAAGCCGGGGAACGCAGTTTTGAGTAACAAGCCGGGGAGTGTAGCTTTGGTCAAAAGCACCCAATAGGCGCATCTTGACTGTTCAGTGGCTTGTGGGTCTGGGTTGGCTGGCTTGTGGGTATGGTTTGGCCCTTCCGGCAACCACAAAAACAAGGCGTGCAGTTCCGGAACCCAAAGACCAACCGTGCCTTGATAAAATGATCGACGCATATTTTGACCGTGACTCATGAGCCAGCGTCAATATTTGCTGTGTGGGCTGTATTCATTCTACTTTAAACGAGTCCCCTATGGTTCTCCGCGTTTCGCGCGTGGGTGCAGTGCCCGAAGAACCCTCTGCTCGGGTCTCGCGAGCGCGCAAAGCGCCCAATGAACCCTCTGCGAGGATTGCGCGTGTCAAAGCGCCCTCCCTGCGACGCCGTGCGGATTTGGAAAGTGCCCAGCGAACCCCCTGCAGTGAGCAATTTCTGCGGCAGCACTCTTGGAGCTCGGGCTCTTCTCCAAAGCCTTCCGGATCACAGATCTGCTCGGGCAAGTCAGGCCTTCCCATCCTCCTGCAGCAGCAGATCTTTGAGGAGCAAGCGCAAGCCCGTCCGCGGCCTGGCCCGTTGCGGGCCCTTTGTGTGCGCGGAAGGATGTGCGCTGAAGGAGCTGCGCGTGTGGTTGAAAAAGCAAACGCACGTGTCACGAAAAAAACAAACTTGCAATAAGCTAGAGCCAAGCAAGCGCACAAGAGCCTTCTCTACCTTGCGGTAGTCATGTGATCAGCGGGCTAGACTATGCTTCTGGCTCCCAAGCATTGGCAGCTTTGCTTGCTGGCTGCAACGTCCAGGTCGCAAGTCGCAACTTTCAGTACCAGCGCAGTACGCAAGTTACACTTTGGCAGCTCCAGCTCGAAGGTCGCAGCGTGCGCCGGTGCCTGCGGGCGCCTGTGCGTGTGCGTGTGCGCGGGTGCGTTAGCGATCCATCTGGGTGGGCCCATCTCGTGCACACATGTGCCCACCATGCATTGCCGAGGAGCATTGACAGGAGCTGTCATGGCAACTTACAGCTTGGGGCAAAAAAAGGCTCACAGAGTGCAAAATAGAAGCGCGAAGCGCCAGTTGCACGTCATGCGACGTTATCGTTTTTGGGGCTTCGCTATATCGTTCCTGAGGAAAAATACAAAACAAGCAACGAGAAATCGCCGAAGACATATTTTATGACGAGAGAGTTTAGCCTTTTGCTCGTTCATTTAGTGTAAGATGGATAGATGGATGGATGAATGAATGAATGGGTAGATGGATGGATGAAGCGATCAGGGGCGCGCGGCCGTACGATACGGCACCTCCTTGAAGGCTTCTTCGGCGGCATGGCGGGCCGCGTAAGAAGCGCTACTGTGCATGTGGACTTGGTGGCAAATTGCTCCGCTGTGTCTGGAACACGTCTGGAACGGGTCTGGAACGGGGTCTGGAACGGTTACGCGTGTGGCTTGCACTTGGTAGCAAGCTGCATGTAAACATGGTCGTTTCAACAATGTGACAACCGAGAGCGGTATCGAACCGTTACCGTATCGTATCGAACAGACTGCGGCGGGGTTGACCCTTAACATTCACAGGCCGTTCCAAAAACACATCTGTCAACAGGACAGCTGCTTAATTCCATCCAAGTCCCAATGATTACAAGCCACGCAGCCCCAACCACCAAAGCTCGACAAGCAAACCCCATCGTTAGCACCTCAGGCTTCTCTCGAACACCAGCCTTAACGCGTAGCATTTGGCAAAACAAAGGGGGGAGTCAATAACCTACCAAATCACCTTACCGTAAATACTCTAAACTAGACATAAATATATAAACAAGGTCTGGAACGGAAGGTCTGGATCATGTTTCTAGGCAAGGTCTGGAACGGAGGTCTGGAACGGAGGTCTGGATCGCATGTGGGTTCCGGACCCTGTTCCGGACCTTATAAATTGACTCGCAGCCATATATATATATATATATATACATATATTACATAATTATAATATGTTGACAAAACCAGCTGCCAAATATGAACGAACATCAATGTGTGTTTCTGAGCACAAGCAAGTATAGCTCATGCATGCGCTTCTACTTGAATGCCTGTTGCCCTCTGAGGCCCTGCCCATGCACAGCGTTCCGTGGCTTTCAGCATGCTGAGCGCTGCTGCAAGTATGCCCGGGTAGAACACAGCAAACTTCACCAACATAAGACACAGAACCAGTCCATTCAAAACCTGCTGCGGCGTTCTCGAGTACTGTGGATAGACGAAATCCTGCATCACCGAAGAGACTATGAAGAGATGATTCCCCTGTGAATGCCAACAAACAATTGTGTCCTGTTTCCCATAGTTTTAAAGTCGTGCAGAAGTTCATCCATCCACATGTCCAACGCCAAATAATGTCTGCTTCAGCAGATACAACAACACCACTCTGAGGGCCCGTGCCCGCCTGCCGACAAACTGACTCCCAAAACGTTGCAAACCCTCCCCCCATGACGGGGCAGCTAGGTGGTGACAACAGGAACATGTGAAGTGATGTTAAAAGGAAAATGAACGAAGCAGTTTTTACCGATATGAATCATCCGTATTTATACATGTTAGGGCAAGATGAAGGGGACCCAGAAATGGCACATGCTGATTGACCTTTCGCTTATCTCCAGCACCCCCACAATCCATCAAATCTCCACCAGCCGCACTCCAAGTGCAACAGCATGATGTGCCTGTTGTTGTGATTCTTGACTGCATGGCTAGCAAAGAAAGGGCCAGTTGCCATGGTCAAACTCTATCAAAAGTGGGGAACATGGGTCCTAGCATGGACCTTCATGCCCTTTCTGAAGCGCTGACTAAAAGAAAGTTCTTCCCGAGTACATGCTTGGGCTCTGACCCTGGCAAAAGATACATGGCCGTTTCTGAAGAGCCGATGCAAAAACACGGGATTCAGAATGCACGGTAGCGTAATCAAGCAAGGCCGGAACCGGGGTCGCTGACGGTCCAAGTTGTCTTACGAAAGCACCCGATTGCTCGCTTTGCCTGTCCCAATGCTCACACTGCTCTTGCATCCGTTCATCTTGGCAAAATTGAATCACAAATCGATGCATCTCTTGGGATCCCGGGTGGGGGGCGGGGGGACTTGCACTTCCTCCTAGTACGTCGGGCTTGGCTCATGCACCGATGCAACGAGTCGCCCTGCCTGCAACCAGAGTCGCTTTGCAGCATCTTGGTCTTGCGGTACATCACCCAGGCCTTCTCAGCTGAGTTGCTTCAAGCCACAGGCATACCGAGGAGAACAATCACCCACAGCACAAGTCACAACGGCCAAGTTGACCGCCTGACGGTTCCTTCATTTGCTTGCTTTACTTCCCAAGATGCAGGAGAGCAACTCTTGTTGTTGCAGTGTCGGCATTGTTTGCATCCAGCCAAAGAAGCCAATCGGACACGTTGTGCCTCATTGTCTCAACAACGATCCCTAAACTCAGCATCACGGTCTTTCAATCGATTCCAGGACCAAAGCCGACATTGCCGGATCAGTCTGAAGCCATCGGTTGCTCGAGACCCTGGCCAATGGCTCGGGGTGCCACGAAAACCGTGGCATCGGAGGGCACTCACTATGACTCCGAAACGGATGCCCACGCTCCCCTCCCCAAATGGGTCTGCTTGCCCAGTGCACTGCTGTTACGAGTTGCCCACGTGCACATAGGCGTCTCTGAGCGACCTGCTAAATAGGACCACTGCGTGAATTCTGAGCGATTTTCGGCCGTTTACCAACATCCTTGTGCATCCCTCATTGTGCCTCTCGACCAAGCCTGGTCCCCATGCATCCCAGTCGTGCACGGATCGCACTTCACAAAATAACTTGAGGAGCGGGTGAATGAAAGCTAGCAGTTGTTGCATGAGATGGGTCGGTGACAGAGTGGATTCATAGGTAGCTTGTGTACAACGAGAGGCCCGGCAAGATTCGTAGGATGCGACACGCAAACGCACATGGTGGCGTGGCAAACCTTGAAAAATGAAAACAACGAGAGGCGTCAGAAGCTGTCTTAAAGCACCTCTGGGTTCTGCATGCTGCGTGTGCAAAGATTCTTGCGAGGTGGCTTACTGAGAAGACTGAGGTCTCAAATGAACAAGCTGAATCGGCGGAACATGTAAAAGTTCGTAGCACCAAGTCCAAAACGGGCAAACCGAGACTGCTGAAACACTGAGCCACTGCCCGGGGGGAGGGGTGGACCAAGGAGGAATCGAGCCTGAGACGGGGGGGGGGAGGGGGGGGGGGTCTAAATAATTGATTTGTTTCAATCTTTTCGGCTCAAATAATTGAAAAAATCAATCTTTCGGCAGTTGAGCCCCTTTCCTTGCTTACGCAAGGAGAAACTTCAGCTAGCTAAAGCTAGCTTTCGTGATCAGAAGGCTCTCCCTTGAACGTCACTAGTCCTGAATTGACTGGCCCATTGCCCCCAAGTACACAATCCATTTGCCAACCATATAACCAGCTGACTTTCTTGGGTCGTCATCACACAAAAGGCCATGATCTGCCTGACCATCCAAAATCACAAGCAGTGTGCCGTTGCCATTCAGCACATGTGACCTGATTCTAAGGCGCTATCCCGTTTCCAACCAATGGGACAACTTTGTCAAGAGTAGAGGAAGCTTGTGAGAATACAGTTCCAAAGTCTGAGTTGGAGCCCAAGGAACTGCAGGGCCTGATCTTGTTGTACCCTCCGTGAGCCCCTTGCAAGTAGACAGTTCTAGCAGTTCCCGGATGCAAATAGATTGCATCGTCTGGTTACCAAGTTCTTCCAAGCCTCTGAGTTTCCAAGCCGCAAAACAGGCAACCTACCCTTGGTTTTCCCCCAAAGAGAAGAGGTGGAGCATGGAACTCATCCAGACCGCCCAGAAAGCACCATGGTCAGAACCCAAACCCCTGGCCTTCGTCGAGAATCTCCCCCAGACCTAAGGCCAGGCGCCAAGAAACGCGAGACTCGCTGGGAGTTTCTCAAGATTGACTCCATCGTTGGTGTGTGAAGGTGAATCAAAGGATACTGTCTGAACCCATTTGTAGGGGACAAGGAAGAAGAACAATGCGTCTAGGAGACCTTTAGCCACTGTAGCCTGATGTGTTCTGGAATGCGTACCAGAACACCAATGGTCGGCGCAAAAGCACCGGGCACTCTAGTCAGACAATCGTGTAACTCTGTCGCATGAAAAGTGCTTGAAGATGATGCAACTGGGCAAATTGACCTTGATGCTGCTGCAACTCGAGGCAGTGTCACACGTTACATGCAGTCTATGACACCAAAAGGGGGGCCTCGTACGCAAGCAAACCAATCATACTGTCTTCACCAACTGAACTTCGCAATTGAACCTGCTCCGCGTGGCGGCATCAATACATGTGATCTGATTTATCTAAAACACACACTTTAGGCATATGATCGCTTTGGCTAGGTGGTTGTAGGGCACATTACAAAGCAGGCGTGCCTAGAAGAGGCTCACAATTTTTATTGCCCATCGCTACTGATAGCAGTACCTGAAACAATGCATGTGACCAAACACATAAAGACATACTGTGGATGGACGAAATCCTGCATCACCTGACAAACCACAGAATGATGATTCCGATGTAAATACCAACAAACAATGGTTTCTCATGGTCTTAAAGTGGTGGAGGATTTCCGCCGTCCACAGTACCACAAAAGAATGAGACCCATCCATTTCATCTTATCCTGCTCGAAAGTGGTAATACTAGTCCACAGCTGGGACCATCTTCATACAAAGAGACCAGGAACAAGGATTCTTCCCCATGAATGAGATACTGGATGGTGGCAGCGCACATCTGCAAGTTGGGCTTCTTCGGGCTGCATAATCATTTTCGGGAGTGTGAGTCAGGGCAAATCTTTGCTTGAAGGCAATGGAATTTCTCAAGGCGCCCAGTGTCAGCCAAGCGCCTACGCATGCCTAAAGAGAAGACGCTAACTGGGCCCGGTGCCAATGAGGGCACTCTCGTTGGTGGGCTCCTGCGACCGGCTGCGCGCACGATATTCCAACCGGACACTTCGTAGATAGCAAACACTTCATGAGCCTAACCCATTTGAAGGCTGCTGGCCCAAAACCCGAGTTATAATTACCTTTGAAGGCCAGACCTGAGAGGAGAAGGAATCCAACTACAAAAAAGTGCAACGAGTTGTGTGTGAATCAAGGGCCACCATGATGTCATGTGCCACACTGAGGAAATATCCATGGCGAAGTTGGAGCCGCTCAATTTTTGTGGTTTGAGCGTACCCTGCAGCAAGCCTCATGTTTAACACACGGGCACTTGACCATCTTTCAGCTGGCCAAAATGTCAAGCACAATTGAAGTACAGTTGATGACATAGGTGTCCTTTTAGGGCAACTAGATGGCCCTGGTAGCTGATTAAACCACCAGGTAAACCAGAGCCATCTATGTTTCCACCAAAACAACCAAAAAGGACACCTATGGTTGATGAAAGTTCGCTGCACCATGGCCAAAGAGACGAAGTTACCAGCCTCTCAGGAGGCAAGCTGATCATTTCAGAAAAGGACACTTTGAAAGGAACAGCTCAACAATCACGTGGCCCAAAGTCCAATCCAACAAGCAACTCAGGCACTTGGCCATTTGCTCCATGCCCAAGGCGCTGCTGTCCTCTTGCAAGCTGGCCTCGAACAGCTTCACTGCACGCCTGACAGGCGTCGTTGTTGACACATCCGGGTTCATGGTGCAGAAGCTTTGTACTAGTCTTGGCAGTGGCCTTGGCAACAACACAACCATGAGACATGAGGTAAACTGAGGGAAGCTTTAACAAACTGAGGTCTGCCAATCGAGTAAAAAGGTGTCACATGTGACGTGTCACACGCCGTCTCTTGCAAAGTTCAGTCACACAGGTCACGGCATCTGATCTAGAAGCTCTGGCTCTGTCGTTCGCTGCTTTTTACTCGAGGGATCAGTATGTGTTGCGCGTGAAACAGAACAGCAAACCGCCAGATCACTACCAAGCACGACTGCCTAGTCTACATTGAGGTAGCGTATCCTCTCCATACTTCATGCACAATGAACCTGTTGATCCTAGGTGCAGCAAGGCATGGTAGGCTGGACTGGTCTTTCAGTTTTTGAAGGCGTGTTCTGTCCTACTCAAGGGGCTCGCCTGCAAACCCCACCATAGCTCCCAACCCACTAGGGCCAACTAGAACCAATGCAAGCTCGCGGTCATGAACTAGAATCAGTTTCTGAATGGCAGGCACCAACCAGTCCTCCCACTCTCAACTGGCATGTTGCTGCCTGTGCCAGTCAGCTAAAATCAGCGACCAATTAGATTTGTAGCAAACTCAGGCCCCGCTCAGAACGGGCTTCTATATCGCTAAGGTCGCTGCCTGAGGTCGTCTGCACGGCTAGGATCTTGGCGGAATGCCAGCAGCAGTGAAGCCTGCAGCGCATTAAATCCAAGTTGCCAAAGGGCTGCCTATACGTCCCGTTGCCGGAAATATTGGGAACTCGGGTAAAGTTCGCAAGAAGAACAGACCATGGGGGGAGCGTGATTGCTGCTGCCCAGAAAAACACACACAGGACGGGGAAACAAACATTGACCTCCAAACCATCCCACAACGACCTGGGTAAGAGAAGCTGCTGGCACTAGGCACCTCTGAGCTTCTCAACGAATGTGGCATCAAGATGTCTTCGACTCAGGCCTCAACAACCGAATGGCACAGGATTTTCAAGCTGAATCTGCAAGTTGGCATTTCCGATTGGGCCTTCGCAATTTCCAATTGGGCGGCTAAGCAGTGGATCTGTTGCAATGGCTGATCAAGCAACACAGGAGCAGGAAGCACGGCTTTGCAAATAACCCGCCTGTTGGCCATCCGCACATGACTCAAGGCTACGCGTGACACATCAAACAACATGGTTCGACTTTTTTCACCGATTGATGGGTCATATAGATCAGTGCTGTGTTGGATTGTGTATTGCGGTGACCTTTCTTGTCTCGGGAATGTGCTGCTAATGTTGATGGCACCAGTCAAAATCGGCTTGCGGGCAATGAAAGGCCACAAAGGATTCTTATGAGGTTCACCCCGGATATACCAAAACCCTGGTTCACGGAGGCCTGATGACACACAAAGGGTATCCCCCTGGCAAACATGAGATTGCAGGGTTTACATGTTGACTTCCCCTTGGGAAAATAGGCCAGTGAACAAAAAAAAAACGCTTCAACGTTCTTTGTTTCCACAGGGGGTCAGATTGCAAGCTTGAGACCCGACCGACGATGGCCCAGTGTCTCCCACTGGGTGCTGCGGCGGCTCTGTCGGCCAACGCCTGGCCCACGCTGACCTGGCAACCAGACTCACCACCGAAGGATCCACTTCTAGGAGGATTGAATAAGGGTACCCGTTTTTTCTTCTTCTTTTCTTTTTCTCTGTAGTCTACTTTAGTAGGGGAATCCTCCCCTTAAAAAAGGGAAAAAGGGCACTACTGGGGGGCCCAGGCTTGTATGAAGTGAAACCCTCATTCAGGACATACCTGGTTGCATATTCTAGCCGCTCGGCGAAATCATGTCCAATGAGCGAAACAAATGCAAAGGAATGAGTTGTTCGCGTTCGTTGGCCCCAATACTCGAATATAGAGGGCTTGGCTTGGCGTAAGCAAGCCAACAACTCAGAAACTCGACACCCGTGTAAAGAGTCTGCGCTAGGCCAACAACACTGCAAAGCTATCCCGCATTATAATATGTCAAGGGTGATGTTGAAACAACATGTTTGTATAGTATGGATTGGCTTCGCAAAAGTGCCCGCAAATTTCAGGGATTATCGGAGCACATCTGCACACGGAGGGGGGGGGGGGGGGGGGGGCTTTTAGGGTACGGCCTCATTGCCAGCAATCTGAACCACCAAAAACAACCCCCCTACAGACATGTAGACATTTTGATAGACCTGCTTCGTGGAACCTGCCTGACATACCAATTTCATTTATGTCCGGTGCTTGCGATGACAACTAGCTCTGTGTAAGGACGACTTCGACACCGTGCAGTCCATCACCTCCGCTAAAAATGATACTGGGCTGCCCTCAGATCCCCTGCTAAAAGTTTAACTTTTAGTGGGTTAAATTCCGAAACTACCACTTTTCCACTGAAAAGGATCTAAAAAGCTAAGGAACCGGATGGCTGGCTTTGCCACCAATATTCGATGATACTCCAAGCCAACTTGACAAGAACAAGTCGCCCTCCATGTCCCCGGCGAGGGGAGGGGAGGCTCAGATCCACCCTGCCCAAAGCTTTGCCTGAATTGATTTGCTGTTGCAACCGAAGAAATACATTGTCAACTTGTGTCGAAAGAGCTTCTGGAAGCGGCGGAGGTGTTGTACACTTCGTCGCTCCCACCCGAGACGAGCGACGTGCGCATTTGGTGACTTCCCGAGACAGCCTCAAAATATCCCTGAATACTTGTCGTGGACAAGCAATGAGACTAGCCAGGATCATACCATAAATTGACTAAAATCAAGTCTTGGAAAGAACAAACACTAGTCATGCGCGAACCGCCTCGCACTTTCCGCGACATCCAGGGCTGTCCGAAGCATTTTGGATGAATCCCCCAAAGCCAGCGAACCAACTCATGTTTGAGTGCTACTGCTTGTCACGACTAAAAAAGACTTGGCTAATGTTGAAAGGGGAGCAAACACTTAAATTTTAGCAGTTAAGTGGGGACTTCCCACGAAGCCACAATAAGCAAAAATGGGAAAAATGTTTCCCAACGACAACCATGAAGAGGGGCTTCGAAGCCAGGGGAAATGAAACCATTTCGTGGCAACTGGATTCACTCCTCCCACATTGCCATGGCACCGGGAGGGTACCTGGATCAGTTTCCTCTTGGAGGGACCTGCTATCTGCTGTCAGCCATGATAGTGGGAGGGAGGGTAACTCATCACAATTCTCGAGAAATGAGCCATGCTGGTCCATGGGGCAGCGTCCAATCGGGGGCTCTTATTGGTGCAGCCTGAGCCGTATTAATGGATCCGAAGCAGCGCAGGAAAAAACAAAACAAAAAAGAGACTTAGGCTCCACAACCGCGGCAGATTCTCGCCTCTCTGGCTCAGGACGAAGGACATGGAACAATTGCTTTTATTTTTTGCAATTCCATCGGTCCATCTACCAATAAGGCAAGGAAAGGTCAGTTCAAAAGCAAGAACTTTCTCTGCAAAAAATGGGGCGCAACTGAAACAAATGCATCCCTGGCTGGCTTCCGCTTCAGCATCATACTCGGAAACCCAAACGAAGCGGATTCAGCCAACATCCAGGCTCAGAAATGGGAGCCATGGGCTTCTTTGCGCTGTCCAAAATCCGAATGTGGGCAAATGACCGCTTTGACTCATTTGGGTTTGTCCCAAGGGGGACCCCCAAATGGGCTTGCTTACCTTTGGCTTCCATTTACCTGTATCCTCAAGAGAAAGAAACCCAATTCTGGCTGATAGAACATGCTTCTGATGACTGCCTGATGACTGGGTCTCATAACCTGCCTCCGTCTCCTCCTCTTCCTCGACGATAGCTGTCTTGTCCTTCCTCGATCATGAAAGCATGACAACGCAAATACAACAATTCCTTGGAGTGCTGTTCTGTTTGCATCTGTATTGTACATGTAAATATATATATATATACATGCAGCATAAGGAGAAAGTCATGATTGCTAGGAGAAAGTCATGATTGCTGCGTTTCCTCCAATACTGCTGCAAGAGTAGCAATAGACATGGTGCGTCGCAACATCACAGAATCAGGTCAGGATCCAGTCTGACTGCAAAGCAAAGAGTTGCTGGCCTTAAAGGAACACTCACCCAAGATCAGGAACGGCAACCAACGGCAAGCCTGCAAGGCAACAATCACAGGGCGTAGCCGTCAGAGGGAAAATCGCCAAGGCGAACAGCTCACCAATCCAGAGAGCAAATGACACAATATACAGCCAAACTTGGCAAACAAGCGCAAACTAAGTCACATGCTTCCAACCACTCCAAGCGCCAGCGCTCTGAATCCCGGACTAAATACAACTATACGGTGGTCTACCAAGAAGATGCAAAAGCTCGATTTGGCCTCAGGTGAGCTTGCCATATCATGTGGCAGATGAGAATTCGGTTTCCTGCAGGAAAATTGCATGTGCAGGAAATCTAGCAGCGGCAAATGAAATTTACATTCCCAACAAGATTCTGAATAATTATATCTGCCAGTGTAGCCCGTGCCATCCCCGTTGAATATCACATCGACTGGAGCCCTTCAATCTAACGAACACCAACCAGATTGCGGTCACAAGAAGGACACGCTACATGAAGGCTGAACGAGTGCATACAAAAGGAGATACAGCATGTCCTTCCAGAGTCCGTTTAAGCACTGTGCCCAAGGACCGGCAAGGGGATTGTGCTAAGGATTCCCCAACTCAGGTTTACCGTTTACGTATGCGGACGATCCGGACCACTCGCCGAAGCTCTAGGTGAATAGTGACAGTGCTTCTCAGGGAGGTCGCATATCTGCAGGTTCCAAATAGTTTCCCATCATGGAACCCGACAGCCCCGTTGCGCAACCAACTGGACCAGTTGTTTTTGCACTCTGGCTCAGGCAAATAGATGGCCCTAATACATAATTAAAACATCAGGTAAACCAGGAATCGCCATCTACTTTTCGCCCAAACCAACCAAAAAGGACACCTATGCTCTGGGCCGCTCTGGTTCCCGGCTCTATCTGGGCTTTGGCTTCCTCCAGCAAGCTCTCCAGGGACGCGCTGTCCCCCAGGACCTGACCCGAGGGCCGAAGTGGTCTCTCGATGAAAAGGACACCTATGCCCACTCTCCGTTCAGTGGGCTATCTCACCAGGCTTACTATACAACCACTTACTATTGCCTCATGTACCCGATCGCCTCGATCGCCTCGATCGCCCCCGCCGCTCGAGCCGCGCCTTGATGCCTCGCATGCAGAGCCTGGCCGCCTCGTCGCCCTGCCGCAGCTTCAGCGCGCTGCTGGCGCCGCGCCAGTAGCCCCGGCCGTTGCCGGGGTCCTCCGAATCCCAAGGAGCTGGAAGCAGGGGCCACGTGTTCAGGATATGTGGATTCTCGGTTGCTTTCTGCTCCCCTTCGAAAAGTTCAACTTTTAGTGGTTTAATGGAAAACCCATTAGTTGGCAAGAAGTTAAAGTCCTAACATCCCAAAATGCACCAAAGGTTCATATAGCAACCCTCTAATGTTGTCTAATTCTATTGGCCGAATATCCAAAAAAAAGTCAGGTATGTGGTTATTGTGGCTACAACCTGATATTGTGTGGTCTACTTCTGTTGGCCGAAATCGAAAAGTCTGTGACATCCTGTTGCATTAGTCAGGTCAAAAGATAATGGCATGACTCTCCATGGACCAATCAATGCTTTGACTGCTTCACCCTGGCTACTCCTTTCATGGTCATTCGAGAGAGTCAACAAATATCAGGCGTCGGAATGTCAAGGGGTGTAGCAAACATCGCTCAATTTATGTCAACCGCCTGGATGTCCATCACCCGTGCTCGAATAATTGTGGCCCGCAACAGCAAGGCCGCGACCATCATGATCAGCAATTTGACGACATTCAGAAGTCAGCATGCATTATGGTCATGATTGTCTGATGCCCTCAGCAGTACCTTGTCTGGAAACATAGCTAGGTCGCCTGCACAACTGGAACATCTACCAGTAAGAACCATCTACAACCAGCAAGCAAAATATGATCATCTCGATGAACTTCAAGCAATCTCGTTCCCCAGCAATACATGCAAATAAATAAATGCAATAATAAATAACGTCCATCCCCTGACACCGATGTATCAAGGGGCGCTCCAAAGCAACTTAATCTCAACTATAAATCAGCTCTAATGACAATATGTAGATTCAAACTGGGCCTTCTATTTATGAATTGCCAAACATAAACACACATGCGCTGAACCAGTTGTTGAATTTCTGTGTAGATTGCAATGCTCATGATTGTGGTGCCGAGCAAAGGCGGAAATTCGACACTGTGTGTGTGTGTGCCTGTGTTTTGACCCTTAGATACCAAGGCATGCACGAAATATCTTGCCAAAAGTAATGGATACTAAGAATGGGAAGTCTGTGACTCTTGCTGTTGTATTGACTCAATTGTTTCTATCTAGGGATGTGGCTGCCCGACCACTCTGGATGCTAAATGATGAACATCTAGACCAAGTACTTTTAGCTGCTTGTCCAAAACGAGCAACTGCAGGGGCTGCGACCCGATTCCTTTCAGCTTCCTTGTGATTACCCCGTCACAATCGACAAATGTCTTTGTGCGCTGTTCTGGTTTGCAGCTGACCGAAATTCTACAAAGCTGAACATTGTCATGTAGACCGCTGTAGACCGGTGTCATAGACATTCAACTTGTTCTAAGGGCCACAGGAACGGCCCTTCTTGGAGTTTCAAGTTAGATCCCGTGTCCGATAGCCGGCCGCCCGCGTGAATCACGGGGCGCCTTTCTCAACCAAGACAAAACAAGAAACCCCTGAATGCGGTTGCTTTGAGCCCCTCTGACCTGCGTCCACCTGAATGAACTTGCTTTCCATTGCGCCCTGCCTCCTGAAGCCCGGCTCGACAGTCCTGTGCACGGCAGTAAGGCCAGTTCGGCCCTGGTACGGGTTTGGGCTTGATCCTTCTGAATTCGTGGGCAGGCCGGCCACCTACACAAAAATGGCAAAAGGCCTTGCACTGAACTGGGCAAAGTGTCGCCTTGCCTGCAAGGCCAAGTCGTGTCTCTCGAGCCGCGCTTGTGCCTTGCGAGGGCGCAAGATGCGAGGGCCACAACGTGTGTGTGGCAAATCAGGGATGGTGTGGGTGTGGTGGGCGCGGGTGGGTGGAGGGGGATGGATTTACCAAGTCGCACAGAGAATATGCAGCCAACCGGCTGAAACATGTTGCAAGCACTATTCTGTCAGATGCCCAGTGGCGGGCATCTTTTTTTGTTGGTTGAGGGTAAAAGGGAGACCTTACCCAACAAAAAAGGAAAAAGGGCACTGGGCAAAAGAGTTCTTTGCACACCTTCACTTTCTTGCCTTTTAGGCATCCGGCTCTCTGCCTGGCAGACCCCTGAGCACATCTCCCAATTGAAAAAACCTTGGTTGACGTTGGAAGGGAAGCAAACAATTAAATGTTAGCAGTTCAGTGGGGATTTCCCACTAAACCACAATAAGCAAAAATGTAAAATGTTTCCCAACAACAACCATGAAACATTGGCGTTTTTCACCAGACTGTCTGAGAAAGGCAGCCAAGCAAACCGATGTGTGCTAAAGCAGAAAACCATCCAACTAAAGATACAAACCAAACAAACACACGAACACACAAGCGAGCAACCAAGCAAGAAGGCCAAGCAATGCCAAGCCAAATTTGGAAATTCTAACACGATAGTGCTTACTCATGGAGCGGTGTAATGATTTGGCTATTGGCTGGTACCATAGTGCTCAATTATGTTTGCAATTTGGGGTTTTCGGAACATGTCAGGATTGACGCTTGGCGGGTGTAATAGTTCATTTGTGGATAAACTGTGATGCTTGATTCTCAAGTTTGATATTTTGGTACTTCATTGATCAAGAAAGCATATAAACCAGCTGTGTTTATGAGCGTGAAACAACTACCTTGTAAGTTTACTCTCATGCTTTCATTAAGCACATACATATTTTTATGGATATGTCATGACATTGTTTCATTGAAATCTGTGCATCTTTATATATATATATATATATGATTGAACTATACACTCGCTGTCCAAACAACTCATAACCTTAACAAAAACAAGAATGCTTTATTTGAAGACACACACACACAGACTATGATTGAAGAACCGACGCAGGAAGAGCCTGGGGGCCGCTTGCCGCTTTTCGATGACCGGATGTCCGGAGGCCTGGGCACGATTCACATAGAGCTGGCCCAGCAGCTTCCCGGTGATGCTGTGCTTTGCACAGAGCTCGATGCCGTTGCTGTAGGACTCCTCACGCATTGGGTGCAACTCTGACTCAGTTCAGCTGGAAAAAGAAGGGAAGCCTTTTTGGGGAAGACCATTTTTAGTGGGGCAGCCACCAAAAAAGAGGGAAAATGGGTGCCACTGAACAACTGAGCTGAGCACATCAACGCAGCCCACCAAAGGACCCTGAAAAAAGCAACCCGTGTTTGATGGCAAAAAATGATTGCGTAAGAGGGCCCCTGGTCCCAAAAGGGTTGTCTCCTCCCTGCTGAAATCGGCCAAGTGGGCAACCAGCAAAGCCTGGAAAGTTGTGCTTTGTAGGGTGGCAAGCGCCTGAAACCGGGGAAGTGCTGGAAAAACAACTGTCCGCTTCCGCCGTTTCCCGCTTTTCAAGGGGACGAACCAAACCGCTTCTTGCTCGCTGAAGTGCCGAAGTGTGAGTGGATCTCTGACCATGTTGGCACTGGCCCGTGTTTGTTGCTCCGGACGCGGGAAAATTGGGTGGGCCCCTGATGTTTCGAGGAAGCTCCAATCCGGGAAGGCATATACTCAGTTTTTCAGTGACCCTGGAGAAAAAAGGGAACCCTTTTTGGGGAAGACCATTTTTAGTAAAACAGCCACCAAAAAAAAGGGGAAAGGGTACCACTGAACAACTAAGTATAGCAAGTGGGTCGGTTGTTGACATCTGGCAGGGATGCCCTGTGATCAAGCAGTCTGGGAAGCGAAATGTTGCTTTTGCCAAGGGAACCGCCTGACGCATCCTCGAGCATCATAAACAAGCGAAAACCCGATTTTTTGTCATTCTACGTGATTCTGAGGCATAGCAAAGCAGCCTCGAAGCAACTCTTAGGGGCGAAAAGAGATCCAAATGACCTTGCCATGGTGCCCGCTAAATGAGCTTGTGGTGGAACTTCTTCAGTTTGCCCTTGGTTCACACCAACATTGCCATCTTGGGCATCGGGATCAAGTGCAGGCCCTTCACTTGGAGGCAAGCCTCGACATGTCCGATACTACAAGATTCCAAGCATGTCTAACTGCAAACATCATTAGTTCCTATTGTGTGGCAGAATCCACAAATGGAGTTGCAGATATTTGCTCATCGACCCCTCATGGTCACGAGCAGGGATTCAGTTTCCGCTTAGCTAGCAAGAAGCACCTGAGTCAGAAGGGAGATGTGGTGAGAATGCAGAATAATTGGATGAACGCAGACGCTATGTGGCACTAAGAACGACGACTGAGGAGTTTCCTTAAATGGAACAGCCATCCAATGTTGGATGTACACGAAGTGTTCCTCTTTCAAACATGTGAACCAGGGAACCTCTGAGTTGGGAAGCTCCTGCGAGTAGCAACAGTCATGGCGAGGCAGAGCCGAGTCAGGAATATGAATTCCCCAAGTCTCACAGAAGCGCCAAAAATGGCGGAAGGGTGAGTGCGGGAGCCGCACTTCCAAGGCACCCCCTCTGTTTTCCGCTCCAAAGGAAAGATCCACGCAAAGTGGCAGCACAACGTGCATTGAGCTCCAACAAACACGGCTGCATTCCGTCAAACACCCACACACACACCTCGCAGGAAAGAGAAGAACACAAAGGGATCGTTGCCTTTTCGGTCACGCACTCATTTGGAAACTTGGAGCACTGTTTATTTAGATTCGGAAACTTGCGGCACGGTTTCGGGCACTTAGATTCGGAAACTTGCGTCATTTCGGGAACTTAAATTCGGAAACTTGGGGCACGGTTTCAGGAACTTGGAATAACCAAGTGTCTGAACGAAGTGCTCCTCTCGTACTGACTTCGATTGCTGTCGCAGCATGAAAATCATCAGTAGGGTAAAACTAGCCTGTCTCACGTCTAAGCCCGGCCCAGCTCGCGTTCCCTATTGGCGGGTGAACAATCCGACACTTTGGGACTTCTGCGTGTCAATGATAGGAAGAGCCGACATCGAAGGAACAGAAAGCAACGTCGCTATGAACGCTTCGCTGCCACAAGCCAGTTATCCCTGTGGTCACTTTTTCTGACACCTCTAGCTGGATATTTCTCAGACCTAAAGGATCGATAAGGCCATGTTTTCACAGTTTGTATTCGTACTGAAAATCATTTGGTGCACTTGAGAGGGGGTTCTTATCATTGGAAGGCAGATATGCAGTGCTGCGCAGGCGCACTTGAGCGGGTGTTCTGACCATTCGGCAAGCAAATATGATGTGCTGCGGGGTTCACTTGAGCGAGCGTTCGTTTTCTTTGGCAAGCAAATATGATGTGCCGCGCGGTTGCGCTTTGGCAAGCAGATATGCCGTGCTGAGGCATCTCTCTCTCTCTCTCTCTCTCTCTTTCTCTCTCTCTAGGAAGCAGGTTTATTGATTTGTTTCAACCTCGCCCTTTCCCAAACGCCAGAAAGAGGAGCCATGTGAATGCAAGGAGCTCAAAAGGTGCTTCAACCTGTTTGAGGAAACCTCCGGGAGATTGGTCAAACACAACTTAAACTGAACAATCAATTCCCTAAAACAAACCACAAGTCTTGAGATGATACGAGCTAGAGATAAGGGATCCTTTAGTGGCCTAACAAAAACAAAGTCTTGAACACTGAAAAAGTAGCTCCCTAATATTTGTCCCCTAAAACCAAATACATATATATATATATATATATATATTCAACAACTAAATTTAATAGAGTAGTGATGAGTAGTGTATAAATATACATATATATATATTATATGTAGGTGGTGAGGTTGGCTACGTTCAACACCTACCTTGACGACTTCTCGCCCGGCTTCCGCTCCAGCGCGGCCAGGGCCTCCCCCGCGCCCAGCTGGGCGTTCCCTTCGGCGCGGCAGTGGCCCACCTCGAGCGGGCGATTTTGGGCGAGGGACACAGGGCGGGTTTTGTTTTGCAAATTTTCTGAGGGAGATGGGTTTTTCTCCCCGTTTCTGCGGCTCCTTCGAGTTTTTTTGAGGGAAATGGGGGTTCCTCTTTTTTGTTGCCCGCCTTCTTCGAGTTTTTGGGCGAGGGAGATGGGTGTTGTTACCGTTTCTCTGCCTCCTTGGAGTTGTTTTGGGACAAAAGGTGGAGCAGAACCCGTCAGATGGGCCTCGTTGGGCGAGCTTTTGTTGGGGCAAAACATGGAAAAGCAATAGACTAAAGAAGGGTTCCTTTGAGTAGAGGTTAAGAAAAAGTTGCAACCCCAATAGCGAACCACGCTGATTCCACGAGGCACGCACAACGCAAGTCGAGGAAAATGTGCTGTCGACTTCCGGCGTGCTTCGCAAGCTGGACAGCACATACCTGCTTCAAAGGTGGTTGTGCTCAACTCCAGAGGTGCGGAATTCCTTGTCAAAGACTACTGCTTTTCTGGAGAGAGACTTCTCTGCACTGCCACGTCCCCGCAATGGAAAGCAACAGAAAGCAAACACGCATGGCCCTCTCGGCTATGCAATAGACACTTTTCCTGAAGTAGACCCCCCTTGCAAAAACCAAGCACCGGACTCCATGACAATATGTGTCATCTTGGCATGCTCTAATTGTATGTCCTTCTTCCCATCAAACGCTCACCCCCGCAAATCATCCAAGTGCCGTCAAGACACCTGCTCCAAGCTCCTGAGATGAGGTGAACTATACGCATCTAAAAGGCAGTTTAACAAGTCAACCATGCAAATTGCCGTGGAGAAAGGTACCGCTGGTAGGTCATGTACATACAAAGAATATAGACTCACGCATGCTGCTCCCAACCTAACGGATTATCCCAAAAGTGCCGATTGTGTGGTCAAAAGGTTGCCCACTTAAAGCTGTCCATCGAGGATTGAACACTATGTTTAACAACGTGGCGCGACATGATCTTCCACACTGCAAGAACCTGCATGATAGAATCCTTCAGAACCCTTATCACAAGAAAGAAGGTTGGGAGGGAGGGAGGACGGAGGAAGGGAGGGAGCGAGGGAGGGAGGGAGGGGAGGAGGTGGGAGGGCGTGTGCGAATACACTACACCACGTTCATATGCTAAGAGAAAGGCCCTTCATGAATGGCTCAAAACGTCTTTGCGTTGGATTTCACTTCCTCTGCTATGTTGATCTCACGGCAAATCTGCTTAAAGTTCAAATCGTGGGCGTTTGCGAAAACGCTGCTTGGCCTGATATCTTCCAACTCATGTGCAGAATGGGCTCTGTTAGCTGTTCGCTCGAAGGGTTCTTGGGCCCATGGACTAAGTGTGATCTCGCTGCTGAAGTCTGGCTGCGAGCTAAGGTGTGGATGGCTTGCGATTCAAGCAGAAGGGACCCAACAACTGAAAAAAAGTAGGCGAGCTCGTTATGTTTCACCGGCTAAAACCAACTCGGATGCAAATGTATCCGCCCCATCGCCCAACTCCTAGGGCCTTCGAAGCGCTATGCAATCCAGCCAGGGTCAGGCTTGCTCAACACTCATGGGAAGCTTCAGGTATTCGTGGAATACGAGGCCCAAGTCATAGACATCTCACGAGAGCATTCCCAGGATACCCCGCATTCCAGTAAAATTCCAGGGAAATCCATTCTACGCGGGTTCTGATTCGGGATGCCGGCCCAACACTTTCATGCTAACAAAAAGTCTAAACGGCGTGAGCCGTCCTGATAGATATTTGCGAATTTGCGCGTGAACGCCATGGATCACAAATTGGGCCCCCTGATAAACCTCCACTTGCAGCCACGTCTTCTGCTCGACCTCTTCTGCTGCTGCATAGCCCTGGAAGCCGGGAGCACAAGGCTTGCAATAGACTCAAAGGCCAGCATGCACATGTCCAAACACCGCGACGACCGTTTGTGAACACCAACGCAACATGCCCATATGTCAGACATGCCTTTTACCCCCGATCAGCATCAGGCCCTGTCATTGGCTCTGAATGCAACAACAATAATTTGCTCCATAAGATCACGCAGTCGCTTCTTGCAAACGGTACTGTCTGTCAAATGCCGCTGCACACGGCAACATGGGTTGCGTGGTTCTGGCTGGGGAGAGGGGTATCACTAGCTGACGAGGATGACAACTGACAGGATCTATGTTGCAAATATGGGTCTGGCTCGAAATTTAAGAGCTAGGGTTACACATGTTCTAGTCTTTGCTTCCATTGACCAAGGTGCCATTTTGGTGCCACTTCATTGAGCCACAGCCAAACGTCGAAGCCAGGCCAGAGGCAGGTATGCCAAGCCCGCGCACATTGACTGAAAAGCAGCTCCAGAGAGCGGAGATTTTGACCGGCGATCGGAATGACAGAGCTGCGAATGGTCAGCTTTGTTGGAAGCCCGGTCTTGACAGCCCGGTCCTGAAAGCTGCATCAACGCAGTGGCGATCCGAAGGTATAGCACTGACAGAGTAAAGCCGTGCTGAATTGAAGAGCTGGCTGCGCACCAGCCCGTTTTTCGAGCAAATGAAAACGCGGCGCCTGCCAGCTCCACGTATTCCAATCTCAGATTCGGGTACCTGAAGTCTCTTATTCTCAGACTTGGCTGTGATGACACAGCGAAGCAGCGAATTGCAGCTGTTTGCGCAGTTTTGGCACAATCCCCACTTCACGTCCAAGCCTGGACTTGGTTTAGTCGCAGCATGCAACACCATAAAAGACGTGTTCTTTCGTTGATTCGGCGCCTAACCTCACCCTTGCTGGATCAGCATGCAGCCTTTCCCGGCATCCGGTTCACGTGATCCTCGCGCGAGCGGATCAAACTCAGACCATGGCCAGCACCCCGCACAAGCGAGAGATCCTGGGCCTTGAGCAATTGTTCTCTTTCTAAACTGACAGCCTTCAAACACTTGCCTTCAAATGATCCTTCATGATCCTTCAATTCATCCTCCATGATCCTTCAATTGATCCTTGGGCAAGAGAATCATCTCGTCAAACGGTCGCAATTGATCATCGGCCTTCAAACCTGAAACGTTCATTTTCGTGCAGAATAAGCGCTGCGGGACTCACTGAGGTCAGCATCATCCATAGTAGCGGCAGCATGAAGATAGTGCCCCGCCACTAGGCCGCTAACAAGCACGTGCTATACTGGGACACAGCCGTTAGCAAGCTTGCTCAATCAGAGCAATTTCAAAGCTTGGTGAGTCCAAGCTTCAACATAACCACACCACCGATACACCTCACAAATCACAAAGGTGCATCACTTGCTTCATTGATCCAACCTACACATCCCAAGTGTTGTCTGCAAGCCTTTTATTGGCCATCAGCGTTGCTTCATGGCAGGTGACACATCATCCCACCCTACGTAAACTCCCAAACGCTGCTGGCCTGTGGCAGTTAAAGACAACTCTACCAGAGCTAGCGGAGGCTGCTGGAAGTTCCGGGAGCATAACACACCTATAGGAGAGATCCGGTAAAATGCGTCAAGCAGCCCTGTGGATGGCGGAAATCGTGAAACTAATCTTCCGTTGAAAATATGGTTGCTACACTAGCTGGTTCTCCCTGCTACAATCAGCACTCAAGAGCCTTGTCCTTGGAGAATTCCGCCACGATACACTCACAAATTTCTTGGTTGACGTTGAAATGGGAGCAACAAATTAAATTTTAGCAGTTAAGTGGTTGGATTTCAACCACTAAACCACAATAAGCAAAAATGTGAACTGTTTCCCAACAACAACCATGAACTCCCAAAATGGGAATGTCCAAAACGCCTCGTCCCCTTTGTGGCTGCCTTTGTGGCTGAAGCCACAAACAAAAAAAAGCCGGGTCCCTCCCTTGCAGCGCATGCGCGCCTCGGTGTGGGTCATGTCATGCGCGACACCGGCGCGTGGCCCGTGAGCAGTCTTCACGCTTTCTTTGAGGTGCGAGTTGAGATCAGCGGTTTTTGTTCAGCTGTCCTGGAAACACGGGAGGGCTCCGATTTGAGTTGTTTTGTCTGTCCTGTACAGTTGCCCTTGAGGGAGGCTAATCTTGGAAACAAATCCACACATACAGAATGTATACAGTATGTATACATACATATGATGCAATGCAGTGTTTTACAAGTAGCTGAGCAACAAGCGGTCACGTGACGGAGTTCGTTGACAAACAGAAGCAAAGCAGCTTGACGCTCAGTGGTTGGCAAATCCCAGCATTTGCGTACGGCTGATTCTCATCCAACACGTGTTGCAAGGGCATGTGTAAGTGCGTGTTTACAATGTTGCTTGATTTTTCTCAAGCACTCGGCATGGCATGTGTGTGCTTCTGTCGACTTCGCAGTGCCGTGGCTCACTTGTTGCACTGTGCTCCGGTAGGTGCTAGCAGTTCATGCTGTGTGATCCTCTCTGTGCAAACTCAACGCTGATTATCTCACGAGAGTCTGAGCCGAATACACGGCTGATCAGTTGCAGCTTGCAAATGTCACCTCTCTCTGGATCTCTTGATTGTCAGCATAAACTGAGCTCCCCGCACAACGCAGCAGAAGCAAGAAAACAATCCGTCAAGTCCAGACAACACATGACAAGGTACCGGGTGTAGTCAGCCAAAGGGGTCTCAGAAAAGCAAGGTGTTACTTGGGCTGATAGCGCTGGTGCCGAGGACTTGCTGCTGAAAGAGACTCGAAGGTTCTCGGAGGGGCAAAGTCGACTTCGGGTAGCTCGCGTGAACCGTTCGAAACAGGGATCCTTGCATTATACACCTGAACATTGCCTTGTATATGGTGGTTTCCCTTTGGTTTGGTGGAAAAAGCCATGTTTCAAATGGTTGCAAAATGTATCTTTTAAGGAGCCCTGCAAAACCAGAGATGGAACTGCACCAGCCACAGTTCTTGAACACCTGACCTGGCATGTCGGGTGCAGCTTGTGGCGACCTCCCAAGTGCCGTCCAAATGGAAGTCCACAATGTTAGGACGGCTTTCGCTGATCGGTGTTCTGGTGGGTAACCAGAATCTAGATTCTAGGGTCCGCATGAGTCCGCATGATGGTTTCACATGAAGGCACGCTGATTTCTGGCCGGCGCTTCGTCTTCGCATGCTCGACGCTGGCTCTCATGCGTGCCTGTGCGCACGGATAGGCCCAGGCGGCCCCAGTAAAAGCCAAACTGAAGGGCACAAGACCAGGGCCTTCTATCCTGTCTTGCCTGAACGTTGCGAAAAAGTGTTTGGCTTTGGGTGACATGACCAGACATGGACCCTAATTGGGAAACCAACAAGGTCAAAGCTTGGTTTTGAGTTTCAGCACATGTCGTCCTAAGCAAAACAACTGAATGCGGGACTCTCTCTTTTGGTGGGATAGATCTCAGCAATGCTGCGCCGTCTGCTGCTGCCTCTGCCTCCCA